GCTTTGCAGCCACCCCTGAGAGCAGTCAGGGCACACCTGGGAGAGGGCAGGGCTGGCTGTGGGGCAGGAGCAGAGGAATCTGCAGTGGCTGCCACTCCCCTGGGCACTGAGCTGGGCAATCCCTGCAGGGAGTTCTGCCCACTCTCACCTTCTGTGGGCACAGTCTGGGCTTGTGCAGCCTCCCAGAAGGTGAAGGGAAGGGGAGCAGCAGCTCTGTGGCAGCTGGAGAAGGAAATTCCCCCAGGAATGCAGCTCCAGGCACCTGTGTGTGGCCGTGCCATGTCCCCCACTCCTGTCACCTGGCACAGGAGCTGGCTGGAGCTTTCACACAGAGTCCTGCTGGCCAGGAGCCAGGGAGGGGCTGCCATCCTGCCCCGTGCTGGGGCCGCCTTGGCTCGGAGGATATTCCTTTAATTAAAATGTTTATTGAGCTCCTGGAAACACTGACAAGACAACGCTGCAAATCTGGCATCTCTACAAGATGTGTGGAGCTGTATTCCAGGGGGAGCAGGGGGGCTGGCAGCTCTGCTGATTGCCCACAAAGAAATGCATCCCACAAACGGCGCCAGCACCCGCACACAGGCAGGGCTGGGAGCGGCAGCGGCGTCGTTACCGTGAGTTATGAGAGATTTCTCCAGGAAAAAGCCCAAATATCCTTTTGTCAGGGGAGATTGGAGGCTGATTGGTAGATGCATGAGGAGAGCTCCCGGACCTTGCAGCAGTAATGATTTCAACTCTCTGCTGAGCACTAACTCTTGGCTGGAAAGAAAATTGAACATTACGGTCGCCTGGTGCTGGGCTGGTTGGGAGGAACGTCCTGGATGTGAATATGGAGCATTGCTGCAGCTGCAGGGAGCAGCAGAGATAATTCAGCCTGGGATTGAGCTCCCTGGCACCACACAGATTGTCCTGTAAGTTAAGCATTTGCAGGCTGCAGTTCCCCCTCCTGGCATCCTCGCTGCCTTGGCAGAGAGTGATTTGGACAGTCCAGCTTAATGCTGTCTGCACTGGAGTCATTGCTGGAGGCGACAGACAGCTCAGACTGGGGTGCACAAGGAACAGATTGGGAGCACTTAGATGGCTGAGTAAGAAGAGTTTCTGGGTAATTTGTTCTTCTTAGACCTTCAGTCTTTAGCTCGGCGTTTAAGGCTCTTCACAGAGCTGCTGGTTTTTATGGAGATGTTAATTTTGTATATTTTTCTGCTGCTGGCTCTGAATTTCTTGCACTGGGAACTGCAATTGTGAGTGGTGTTAATTGTAAATGGGGCAGGAAATGTGTTTTGTCATTTCTCCAAGCTCTGGTCTTTGAGCTCTGTCAGTGAGGGACGAAGCTGAGAGGTGCAAGTTAAAGATCTGAAGTGGGAAGTGTTTTGGTCACCAGTCTAAACGAGGATTTCATCTGATTCAGTCAATACCCCCTCCCTTGTGTCACATTGTGCAAGTCTTTTTGCCCTGAATTTATCTCTCCTAATTATTTTAAGCAGCCAGGGCCATAAAAAGCTTTGTAAAAGCTGGAGGCAAAATTGGTGCCTTTATTGGGAATTGCAAGACCCTTCCTTATGAGGGGCAGGAGAGGATTTCTGCAGGAGCCATTGCTGCTCTCCCAGTTGGAGAGTCCTGAGGGAGTGTGGTTGGAGAGGCTCAGGAGGCAAATACCACTCTAAGGTGTAAAACCTTTCCAGGATGGTATTTCTGGGTTTTCTGAGCATCTCTGGAGTGGTGAGGAGACAGGCAGGGCCATGGGAGGCCTGGCTTTGATCGCTGGTGTCACCCTGGAACCTTGGATGGGTCCCCCAGGCCTTGTGTGCTCTGCTGGCTGTTACAGCAGGAGGGAAGGTGGGTCAGGATGGGTTTGGGGCTTCTGAGGGCTCACTGAGCCCAGCACAGGGCTTTGGCCATGACTGGTTCCATCTGGGAAGGTGATGCAGGATGCACTACCCAGAGCATCCTCTTCATCCCCAAAGTGCTGCCCAGTAAAACATGAGGGGAAAAAACACCTGAGACTGATGGCAGTTCCATCCCTGTGTGCTCAGGGATAAAAACCCACCTGGGAGTGATGGCAGTTCCATCCCTGTGTGCTCAGGGATAGAAACCCACCTGGGAATGATGGCATTTCCATCCCTGTGTGCTCAGGGGGATCAGGGGGCCCTGGCAGTGCCATCCCACCGTGGTGTGGGGCTCAGCCGGGCAGGGCAGGGCTGCTGGAGGGGTCCCACATGCTGGGCCTGTTTGGGATGAGCTGGCCATCCTTGCAGCCCTGCAGCTGCCTGTGCTGCTCTAAATAACAAGAATAAAGGATTCTTTGGGGAGCCAGGCAGGCTGGGAGGTCCAGAGCCCTCTGCATTTTCACCTGTCTGCACACAGCATTGTTTAAAGCCTCTCCCTTTCCATTTCCCTTTGTGACAGTGTGAGTCAAACAACTACTAATGACCTGGGATAGATTTCAACTCTGTTTCACCAGTGTATCAGCCCAAACACATCAGGGCTGCTGCCTGGTTTAACAACTAATCAATTGAAGCCTCTGGTTAAACTGTCTGCATGCACAAGCTGCACCCAGCCCGTGGAGTGTGTGTGTGTGTGTGCTGGGAAGG